TATGAATAAAATTTGATGCCAATAAGTGAATAGTAAATTCTTGATCTTAGAATCTCTGTGAATTACTAATTAAAATTCAAAATTAATAATATAGTAAAATCATTCTGTAATTTGCCATAACTATAGCCAAGTAATATAGTAAATTATAGCTATAATCAATATTGGGCTCACTTATAAGTCTAGTAAAATTGAACTAGAACTGGACTTATAGATCTAGTGGTTAGTTTATAAGCTCAGTAGTCTAGTTTATAAGTCCAGTAAAGCAGACTTTTGGTCTAGAGCCCAACACTAGATATAATGCTATAAGTTATTATACTACTTACTATAGTTACGGCAAGTTACGGCAATATGATAACCATTATTGAGACGATTCTACAGCATCACTAGTATAGATGCATCTTTCTGCTTTTATTAAAACACCCAATAATTTGATCAGATCCTATTGTTGTAATTGCAATTCCAAGGTATATATAATACAAAAAATCTGTTTACTGCAATTGCTCCGTTTACTAATCAACTTATAGTGTTATAGATACAGGATTTCTGTTGACTGGGGGTGGGCGTTAAAAGGCAACCAAAAATTAGATAATAGAGGTGAAACTAGAATATAAAAAAAATGTAAAAGCTATATTAGAGTGTTTTTTTTTTAAACAGAAATCGAAGAAATGAGAATAAAATGAATGCAGAAGAAGCTCATGAAATTTGCTAAAGGTGGTGAGATAGAAAAGAAGAACGTTCCAAAAATTTTCACGATAGAAAATTGGGTAAGTTCATATGCTTGTACATTTAAGCAAAAAGCAACAGAACAGTTAGCAAAAGATAATATTCACCTGTAATATTCTACAAATTTGTAATAATAAATTTTGTCTTCAGCGAATTGTTATCTAAATACTCTTTTTTTGACTATAAAAATTTTGGTTTCATAAGTAAAAAATTTCATGTAAATTTTAAAATTTACTCATATTTGAAAAGAAAGTTTGTATTTCATACCTGAAAGTGTTCTTAAAAAAAAATTGTTATAGCATTACAAGTAAAAAAAACTCTAGTCAATTTGCGCAATTTGCGCACAAAGGATCTTTATAATATATGTTGTATAATAAGATTAGCCCAAGTAGAGATCACTGTTATATGGTCACTGTCAATTTCACAAAAGATCTTATAGCATACATAAGTTTCTATGTATAGTAAAATTGGACCTGGGTAGAGATCACCATTAAATCTTCAATCCAAAAAGCCTGAAATCTGATCTTAGATAGAGATTTCAACCTTGATCTATTTTATTAAAAAAAAATAAAAAAATTCAATAGCCCAACGTTGACAAAGATAAAAACCTAGACTTTAAACATAAGTTTGCTTGTTAAAATAAGGGTAAAGTTTAGAGTGTATAATTATATGTAGAATTATATCAAAATAGTAATCTACATAGGAAATATCAGAAAATGCCACATTCACGCAAAGTAAACTTCTTCAAAAAGAATTTTTACATTTAGTAGTTTTGATACTAAAAACTATATAATATCGCTCTATAGATTGTACTACTTTACATAAAAATTTACTTTAACTTTTTTGACTTTATATATGGTCTCAAAATTTCAATTTTAACTATATATATATAAGATCTGTATCACGTTGTAATATAGAAATTTCATCAGGTAACTGGCAGATCATCAATTAATATAAAAGTTTTTAAAAATAATTTTATTATTATTATATTTGTTTCTTTAAGATAATTCTAACAAACCTAAAATCATTCAAATCCAATTACAAAATCTCAAGATATTTTATTGTTAAATAATAATGTATCTCATAGATAGAAAAGATTGGTTAGACCTGGTCTAACTAATTCTTCCCATCTATAAGATACATCACTATTTGATAGTGCAATATCTTGTAATCTTGTAATTAGATTTGAATAATTTTAGACTTGTTAGAATCATCTTAAAGAAACAAATACAATAATATTATTATTATTTTTAAAAAACTTTTATATTAAAAGTTACTGTATTTAATTTTAAAGTTTGAAAAAAATTTGTCTCTAATATAAATTTCAAAAATCTACCTATATATATTATCAGATCTAATATGATATTTATTTATTAAATTAGATTATATATCTGATTATAAACAAAAACAAAATAAATATAAAGAATATATATAGCAGATTAATGATTTACTTAAAATAGCATATATATATATTTGATGATAACCTAAAATTTTTTATTAGAACCAAAAAATTTATCTTGGTAACTCATATAAAGAAGATGATAATAATATATTTACAAGTATAACTACTTTAATATTAATAGCATTAACATCATTATTTTTAATATCAATATCTTATAAGGTTGATTATATCACATATTAAAACAAAATTTACTCAAATTAGTATTTGCAAAGTTAATATTTTATTGTGAACTTTTTTATCATTAACTGAAATAGAATCTATTAAAGATTTATAAAAAAAAGCAAGACCTGTATTTAAGTTATCTAGTTAAAAAAACTTTATATGAACTTGTTAAATTATGTTTTTAATGAAATAAAAAATAAAATTAAAACTTTAATTAACAGTTATACAAATATGTATTTTATATTTGATAGATAGTTAAATTTGATACAAAAATATTAAACTAATTATATTATAACAACTCTAAAGCTTGTTTTTTTTATAATATATATAACTAGTAAAATACATTAAAATAGAGAAGCTATTATAGAAGATTCCAAAAAATAATTAATAAAATTAGTTTAAGAAAAATTTTTGCTATAGTTATAGATAATACTTCTGTAATAAAAAAAATATAGTATTTATTAGAATTAAAATATTCTAATATTATATTTTAGACTATATAGTATATAGTCTAAACTTTCTAATTAGTGATATTATAAAAATATCATAGTATTGTAATATTTTAAAAAATACTTATATAATTGTTTTATATTTTAGTTTATATTAATTTTCAATAGCAATTTTAAAATAATATCAATTAGTAACTTATTAATAATAAGTTTTATTAAAATTTTTAGTAAAAACAAGATAGAGATTTTAGCAATATGCATTAATTCTGTTTTACAAAATTAGCTTGCACTTAAATTAGCTATTACAAAAATAGTATATAATAATCATGATATATTATAATAAAAATTTATAAAATTATTAATAATACAACCTTTTAAAAAGATACTAAAAATTTACTTTTAAATATTAGATGGACTAATTGCTAGTATTTCATTATTTGAATCTGATACATCACAATTAGTATTTTTTATTTTTAGTATTGTAAACAACTAAAATCAGATAGTAAGTAATAATAATAAGTATTACAAAAAATTTAATTTAATAATATATATTAATTACTTTATTAATATAATACTATTAGAATATATTATACTAGCAGATTATAAAATTAAAAATATATTAAAAAATTTGTAGAAAAAATTTATCAACCAGTTATATTTGTTGCATATTTTTCTGAATTTATAATATTATAACCAAAAACTTTTAGCAAATAATATATTAATAATACAAAACTATTAATACACTCTTCCCGCTAATCACTTGTACACAAACGAACAAGAAACAAAAACAGCCAAAACTCAACAAAAGCTATAGAAA